CCTTGCAGAGATTATAATATATTTTGCTATTGGCACAGTACTTGGTTATCATCACATTATGTGGTGGCTGGTTATGATGTTTGTTGTTAGTAACCAAGTGGCGGCTGGAGCAGCTTATCATAAATGGTATCTTGAGAAGTTTGAAGATTATCCCTCAAACAGAAAGGCCATAATTCCCTGGATTTATTAATTCCATTCAATGTCAACCACAAAAAAAAAAGATTTCTAATTCAGTCTTTACTGAATTGGAGTGTTTAACCTTCTCAACACCAGACTTTCTCACACACTTTTTCTACACTTTTTTTCTTATATTCTTCAATATTTCTGGAAATGAACCCTAATTTTAAAGCAAACATACAAAATTGTAGTCAATTCTTAGTTTGGCTATTTTGGTCCCTTCTGAAGGAAAGTGCAGACTATAAACAGAACTAATTTGTGATGAAAAGAGGGAACTGGTGGTGAAAAGAGGGAACTGGTGGTGAAAAGGTTAATATATAAATATTGGTCATCTAATTTGTAAGAGGTTATTAAAATATAAGAGTGCTTCCATTCAAGAGTCATAATAGACACTGATACTTTGACAAGAATATCAAATTATGGGCATTTCAGAAGGGATGAGTGACAAGTCGTACTTGACTTCAAAACTATAAATTGAATGGTTATATCAATGTCATATGCTTAGTATATGGTCAATCTTTTTGATAATTGATAATCTGGGCGCAGTAAGGATGTAAATATTTCAAAAGTCCTTGGGATTCTTTGCTTTAAGATTCCTTCATGAAAAAGTAGCGAAAAAAATAAAGTATTTTATACTACCTCAAGTAAAAACTTCGCTCGGGGGAAAAAGCCATATGCATCATTTTCAGATGGAATATGGTATAAAAACTCTAAAATAGGATTCAATGCAAACCTCGTACAAAATTGTGCCTGATTGGCTACCTAACCCTAACACTTAAACACACCAATCTTAGAGCAGCTTGTTTGCTTTTTGTTTTTCAACCCATCAAATTCTGCGATTAATATATAGACTTTGTTCTTCAAGGCCAGAGTTCAAACCCAGCTGTAGTTTCTTTATAATACGGCAAATCTCAGGGGATTTCCTCAAAGTCGAACTGTCATGTGACTAACAAGACCCAGCTGAATTGAAATCTGATGTTGGCCACAGATCACTTTTAATCTTGGTGTGTGACCAACTTCTTGATAAAAGTCTTGTACAGATCTCACAGGATCAGCAACCAATCAGAGCTCGTCTAGTAAAGCGTACTCCAACCTATTGTCAGCAACCAATCAGAGCTCGTCTAGTAAAGTGTGCTCCAACTTATTGTCAGCAACCAATCAGAGCTCGTCTAGTAAAGTGTACTCCAACTTATTGTCAGCAACCAATCAGAGCTCGTCTAGTAAAGTGTACTCCAACTTATTGTCAGCAACCAATCAGAGCTCGTCTAGTAAAGTGTGCTCCAACTTATTGTCAACTAATTAGAGAATAAATTACATAAATAAAGTACATTGTAGTTGGTAGCTTTCCCAACAACCAGGGTATCAATTAAAATTTACAGTTGGAGTAAGAAACTGATTATTTAGAAAATAAGGTTCTGTAATACTGTGAAATACTTCACTTTCGCTGGAATTAATTTTCGCTGAAAAGGCTTTTTGAGCGTACTTTATGGAATTTATTTTCACTGATTTTTGATGAGTTGAATATGAAGTATAAGAACAAAGTATATTCGCTGGATTTTTATTTTCACGGAATCATCCCTTCAGCGAAAATAAAGTATTCTACAATATGAAGAATTCAGATTTAGTATAAAATGTGCATTATTTTGTTTCTAATGCAATCCACAATAGTCAATAAATTATGCTTGAATCTACGCTAACTAGTTTTATTGCAGGACACAATGTAATGTAAATGCTAAACTTGTTCAGTTGCTGGTAATGTAGTTACAAGTTTCATTGCTTCAGAAATGACTGTATTTAACACATTTTGCGATGCTTGTATATAATATTGCTGCATTCGTAGTGGATGTCTTTATCTAGTGTACAATTCCCTAAATTGACAAGATATGTTTATGCTACTTCATTTGTACTTTTATAAATTACTTCAAAATTAGACAGTTTAGGGTAAATACAAGTAGTGATAATACAAATGTCAATGTAAAAGTTTTCTGACATCCACTGTAATTATGATCAAATTTTACAGAAATAAATTATCTATGAATATGAGGTACATTTGTAATATTTATCACACCACAGTTAAGTCCAACAACCATTGAGAGAATGATTACACCACAGTTAAATGCCAGTCATTGAGCCCCTCCCCCTCGAGACCAAAGATCCGGGCCACAGCACATATTTATCTATTTTCGCAATGGAGTGTTTATCTTCAAACACCTGGCTAGATTTCCAAAATGTCAAAATCACAGCATGGATGGATGGATGTTCACAATAAAACTTGGGGGAGAGGGTACAACTTTACCTACTTTGAGATCAGTCATTAATGCTTGCACGTTAGCAATAGAACTCCAAAAGGAGAAACTGCAAATGCTTTCAAACTTGTGACCAATGTGATACAACTTCATATTACATTCAACATTATAAAATCTGAATAGCAGTTCAGTCAAAGCTTGTCAACGAGAATGCATCTGTAAGGCCATACAAATTCTTTGCTAGAAATGTATTCAAATTGCAACATTTTATTTTGCGCTGCTACACAAACTCGGGTCTTGAGACAATAAAAAAGTGCTCATCCTTATGTAAGTATCAGATTAGTTTATTACAAGAAGTTTGTATTGACAGTGCTTTATTTTTAAATATCAGCCATCTTGAATTCAACCTATAGAAACTGGATGATTTTACTTATAGGGTGAAATATCAGCCATCTTGGATGCAACATGTAGAATTGCACGATTCAAAAATAACGTTGAATGGACTGTAATCGGCAACACTTCTAGCTGTACTGTACAGAAAACATCCTAACATGAAATGGCTAAAATAGAATCAATCGTGACTATAACAACAAACGGCCGACATGCAAATCTGACTAAAATTTCCAAAGTTCAGGTCAAATTCAGAATGGACCTCGCAACTATGCTGGCACTTACAATATTCAAAATATGATTACCCCAAAATTAATAAATAACCTAATCTTGGCGTGAACACCTGGTGCAATCCTAAGGACTGACACAACTTCCTTTAAAACCTCCCTTCACAAAATTTATGACGCATACAATAGCAGCTTTCAACATAAAAGGACATAGCTGCAATTTTCTTTTTAACATTGACCTATGTTCAGTCAGTATATATACCGTATTTGCTCCATTAGAAACCATTGCTAATAGTTGCAGATATAAACTAAAAATTGTATTTAATGTCACAATAATACAAAATTTTTTTGCTGCGAGACACCACACTTTTATGTTAAGTGCAAGTGCTACTAATAACGCAAATAGCGTAATAAGAGAAATGTAGGATAATAAAACAATACATCATGAATCATGATTGGATTACCATAGTATGAAATACACACCAAAGAAAGAAATAACAAAATATTGCACCCACATAAACAAATTACCATAATAGTACCGGTATGTTAATAAAGAGATCACTGCAGTTTCTGCCCTTAACTCAAAAATGTTTCTGTACAAGCAAATAAAAATAGTTGTGGAAGAGCACAAATTAGATTATAGAATGAGTACTGATGTTATTTATCAAAAAAAAAAAAAAAAAAAGAATGGGGGAGGGGTACTGATTTGTTAGTGAATGTGACATTGAGAACATAAAACAAGAAATGGCAACATTTCATCTGCAGATGAAAAAAAAAAACTCATTATACTACATTTACTGCAGTAATTAACAAAAGGAGCATAGACAGTTAAATTTCAGTTAAGAATAAAAAGACATCTTCTCTATCGGATGAGGAAACTGCAAATAAATAAAATAAATGTAAATTAGAAAATTGAAGATATCATGAAATTAACTTTGCTGAGTAAGGTCCACCTGAGGTATCTACTGTATATGTATTATATATATATATATATGTATTATATATATATATATATGTATTATATATATATATGTATTATATATATATATATGTATTATATATATATATATATATATATATATATATATATATATATATTGTCAATGCAATTGGACTTGCGGTTTTCAAGAAGTCAAACATATAACTTTTAACCAAAAAATACAAAATTTGTTGAATATTAAAATTTCAGGGAAGTATGTAATTAACATACCAACAGATGCATTGTTTAAATTATGATATTTAGGTTCATATTAACATTTCTGGCAGGTATGTAATTAACATAACAATAGATGCATTGTTTAAATTATGATATTTAGGTTCATATTAACATTTCTGGCAGGTATGTAATTAACATAACAATAGATGTACTTACCTGTAAGGGTAACCATGATATTTAGATCTAAAAACAGATAATAATATACTGAAGAATACCACAACTGTAGCAAGACCTAGAATTGTTACAACTGCAATAACAAATACAAACACATTATTGATATTATATTATTATATAATGTTACTGTAAAACAGATAACACAAACTAGAAGAACTAAACCAGTACAGAGATGTACTGCATTTCAGGAGTTTTGGAACATTCAAAAGCTTACTTCACTGTGACTTATCAATGTTTTGTCAATCCCAAAGACTTTTACTGCTGGAACAAAGCTCTTCAAAACTATCTTATTGCTGCAACACTTATAAAGAGCTCCTCATGTTACTATTTTAGTATTCCCTTATTTGGTCGTCCAAATAAATTATTACACTCTGTAATGCTTAGTTATCACTATATAAAAAGGGAGTAATAAATGAAGACTTACTTCGTCTTTTGCCGACATCACCTTTTTGAGTAACACTTTCGTTGAGTAATACAATACCAAAAGTAATAGCAGCATCTGAAAATATCTTTGTCAAGGTATATAACTTCACAGTATGTGAAATAAAAGTGCAAATTAAACTGATCGAACAATTAGCTTTAATTACAATGAAAACAAGTGAATTGGAGATTGTGTCAGTGACGCATACATTCAGCTTGAATGATTTTGATTTGTGTGATTTTGCAGTAGCCATCTTTGATTTGGGTGATTAACAGTAGCCATCTTTGATTTGGGTGATTAAGCAGTAACCATTTTTGATTTTAGTGATTTGACTAGGAATCATTGATTTGGGTGATTCAGCAGTAGCAATATGTGATTCTGGGGATTCATCAGAAGCCATCTTTGATTTGGGTGATTAGCAATCTTTGATTTGGGTGATTCATTTGAAAATTTTATTGTTGGCAATCATAAGGTGGTCTTGCAATAATACGAAAAAACACTAGTAGTGGTTGTGACCATGAAGTCGTGGAATGAGTTCAATTTTTTTTAACACATCTTGTCCAATTCGGACAGTGTAAAATTTCTGAACAGTATTTTTGCACCACCACAAATCAAATGCCTTTTCTATGATGTACGTACTAATACATTTGCCACGAATCAAATCAAACTGCAACTTACTAGTATCACCATGGAGACTCAGATGGCATTATGACAGCTGTGTTGAACATTTTACATAAAGGATACACAGCAAAATGACAATGTGTGTCTCTGCTATGAACTGTGCCTGACTGCTGCCATGAACATAACTCTAAATGACAAGGCATAAAAGAGAAGTCAATGACTACACACCTCATGTGTATCTGTAAACAGTGATATGTTAGTAGTCTTAACCATTCAAACAGGACTTCCTTAAAGGTGATACCCTTCCCTATTCACATACTAAAGTTGAATTGTTATATTGCAACAACAAATTAACTCTATATCATTATTCATTGGTACTATTATATCACAGAATGCTCAGTG